GGGAGCAAGCAGCAGCAGGCAGCCAGTTGGGGTCTGGCTGTGGCCAGTGGCTGCACCCTGCCCCCTCACCAGGTCTGCTTCCCACCCCCCTCCTCTTGTCCAGGCCCACGGCCCCTGATCCCCCCCAGCTCTGCTTCCCACTCCCCTTCAGCCAGCTCTGCCCCCCTTCTCCTCCCTGCGTGGCGCCCCGCCCCCCTTCCTTCGTGGTGCGCTGCAGCACTCAGCTGGGCCCAGCTGAGCTGCAGCCGCTTGCCACCCTGGGCCCAGCTGAGCGGTGCTCCTGCCAGGGCCCAGCTGAGCGGCGCGGCGCTAGGCCGAACCCCCATGGAGGGAGGGGAAGGGGGGCAAGGCACAGGCAGAGGGCGTGGCCGTGTACGTCAGCATTACAGACTCTCAGACAATGGGCTACTATATATATGATTAGCAGATTTGTCTGGCATTGCTCAGGTCCTTCACTCAATGAAGTTGTGAGAGTTTTAGTTTTTTAGAATATAAAAAAATGTACATTTTTCACTTAAATGAATGTATTTTTTCAAAAATGCAGTGTTATTTTGAAGTTAATTTTTATTTTGAATTTCTTGAGATTGTTAAAATTTACCTGTTTACTTTTTTAGTAAATTATTTTAAAAAGATACATCAAGTGGATCTTTTTTTCATTCCTAAAAAAAATATCATTAGCAATGTTATAACAAAAAAAACAGGGGGTTATAGTCAATTTGGTTTCCAATAGCATTGTCTTTTAGTTTTCAAACCCTAAATATTAATTTAACAGAGTCAAAATAGAGCACTACTCCACATTTTATCTCTTTTCTGTAAGGCTTATTAAGAAGCCTATTCAAGGTTCATCCAATTTTTCTGGCTCATCTTGGTTCAGTGTCTTTCAACATTCACTCAGTTATATCAATTTTGAGTACTATACTTCATTTAGTGATTCTGTCTGTTTTTCTGTTTGGTTTTATGAGAAGCAATCCCATTCTTGACACATCTCATTTTCCTGGCACAACCAAACCCTTATGTTTGCTTTAAATTATGATAACAAGAAGCTTTATATACTTAATTTGGTGGTCCTAACTCTCACTTTGAGGAGGGGTTCTTGATCAAACAGACAGACAAAATCTCTAAAATATATAGTAGATGAATGATTAAAATATAAAGCTGTGTTTTGTATTTCATAATTTGCAAACAAAATTTGTTTATAAACATCCAACTAATTAAAGAAAAATTAAGAGAAAATAGACAAAAGTAATGTTCAGAAGAGGAAGCTAGAGATAGGGAAGGAAGTGGGTATAGCGTATGGATATTAAAATGCGGTTAATTGACTAGTCAATGGAAGTATAGCGTACGGATATTATAATGCGGTTAATTGACTAGTCAATGGAATTTCCGCTGACTAGTCGATAGACACTTCCATATTCCTCCTTTGAAATGTGCAAGAGCTCCTACTGGGGCTCTTGTACATTTCAAAGGAGGAATGAGGAACTTCGTACCTGCGGCGGGCTACCCCTTAAAAACACTGCCTCCTCTGAAGCCCGGGGTCAGCCAGGGACTCCATGGCAGCTGCCCCTTTGAAATGCGCAGAGGTGGCGTTTTAAAGGGGCAGCCCGCCTCACAGTTGATCCGAGTCCCCAGCTGACCCTGGACTACATGGCTGCCCCTTTGAAAGACATACTGGTGGCATTTTAAAGGGGGTAGTTGCTGCACAGCTGCAGCAAAGTTGACTAGTCTTTCCCATCCTTTGTATAGAGATGGGAAGGTAAGGGGGAGGCATATAATAGACTCATTCAGATCTTTCCAGCAAAGCATCCCAGATCTGAGAATTTTGCGTGGGTCTTTCCATGTGGACAAGCTTACAATGTGTGCGCCAGTCTTTACTTGTTGGTTGCTTTTGGATTTTCATTTTTGTAGCAGCAGTCTTTCTGCAATCCTTAATGGTCTATTTAGCCAAAGTTTTTCACATCTATTCAGCTTCTAATTAAAATCCATTCCATTTAAAATTACATGTTTAGCTTGTAACATAATTTTATTTGGTAGGAAAAGTTGACTCTGCAGTTAAGCTTTGCCAAAACATACAGGTAAAGGAGTATTCCCACAGCCTATGAGTTAAGTTACCGTCTGTTGAATCAGAGTTCTAACATTTGTCTGACTTGGCAGCACCTGGGTTGAGTTCAAAGTGGGGTCAAATGCCTCCTCTATGTGATTTTCCACTAGATTAATCATAAACTGGTTAACATTTGTTTCCACCAGTGAGCAGCAGGGATGTAAAATCTCATTTAAAAAGTTAACTGGTTAAATGTTGTGTTTAACTGGGATCCTGCAGTCCCCCCACTTGCAGTGTGGCGGGCCTGGCAGGGTTGGAGCAGTCCCCCACAAAGTGGGTAAAGAGCTGCTTCAGCCCAATTAAGCCCACTGTGCCATGGGCCACTTCACCCTGGGCAGGGGCTGCTCCCGTCTGGCCAGGCCTGCTGCATCATGCTGCGGGGAAGGAAGCTGCTCCAACCCAGCCTGACTGCCAGTGTGATTCTTACTGGGTAACTGCTTAACCATTTACATTCTTAGTTGAGAATAATTAGTCTAGTTCTTCTTTCCATTTCTTTTTTAGAAACTCTGTATTTAATTCAGATTTTCTGGGCAAGTATGCATATTGTTGCTATAATATTTAGAAATCTGGGAAATATTTGGATAAATGAAAGCATTCCAGGTGGCTCAGGGGTAACTCAGGCATTAGGGCCAAGCAGATGGGAGATGGCACGTTTAAGATAGATGTGTTACCACTCCTTAGTCTCTAGACTGAACCTTTCTTTTAATAATGTAAAAGGGAGGAAGATATAATTTCCAATAAATTGACTGGTGATCTAAGTATCCTTCATAATCCAATCTGGCCATATGATGGGATTGCCTATAATGGAGTTTTAATTCTCTCCAAAGAGAGGCATTGGTATGTAGAAAGGGGTGATTTTTAAATTTAGTAGACATTGTACATGAAGTGTTTCTGGCTAACAGTAGCTGGTAATTGTGAGTGAAGCACATTGGAAAGTGTTAAAGGAACAGTCAATTCTGCTTTCAGCCTTTGCCAATCTGGGGCGCTACAGTGTGAGGGAATGAGCAACTTGCACTGTTTAGTTAAGATTTACTGTCGGATGGTAACGTTTAAAATTGGGAAATCTAAAACCACCTGTTTCTGCAAGGATCTGCAATCTTTGTAGAGATTCTGTATTTGTTACCAGTAGCTCTGATTGTGGGAGATTTATCCCTACCTCTACCTCTCCCCTCCCCCATTTTTAGAATAGCAAATTACAAATACATTTTAACTTTTAACAACATGAGGAGGACTAGTCTTCTGGGGTGAAATGTGGTAAGAATTTTTTTTAATGAAGTATTTGAGCTAGGGTGCGTTCCATGCTGCTGTGGGGAGAGTATGGGACTCCCTCCTGGCATAGAACAATAGAATGTTTGAGAATTCTTCAGAGCTAAGAGTATTCCATCCATTTGTCCTTGGGCTACAGTAGCATTAATGAACCTTGATGAATTCTTAGACTTTCATAACATCAATATTGGATATTTCTGTGAAGCTTCAGTCTCTTAGGTTTTGAATATAAAGCTCTGTAAAGATTTTAAAGATGGCCAGGGAGCACCTTTTTGAAGACCATGAACACACTGTAATGTTGTTCTGCACTGGTCTGGTAGTATTCTCATTCATTCAAACTTCCAGATGGAGGAACTATGTTCCTAGAATTTACTTCTAGGTTTGGCTCAAACTCTTGCACCAGGTCATCTCCATAGAGATGAAAGTTTAATTTTGCTTTTGAAATGAGGTTGCAGTTAGTTCATGAGCTGTGTTGAAAACATGAATATAATCATACACGTAACTAGGGGTGCAAATGGTTAACCAGTTAAATGGAAAGCCTCACCCTTAGCAGATGAGGCTTACTGGTTCCAGTTAACTGGTAGGGTCTGGAGTGGCTCCTCGCCAACTCTGGGGAGGGGACTGCTTCAGCTCCACGGGAGCAGCCCCTATCTGTGGCGGGCCTGGCCTGGCCCCTGTGCTGCACAGGCTGCCAGCCCCACTCAGAGGGAGCCAGCTGCAGAGCCCATATTTAAGCTTTATACTGCAGAGCCTGCAATGCATGTAAGATTCTTAGCAGTTACATGGAATTTTATATCCCTACACACAACTGACCAGATTAGAGCTGATGGATAGTTAATGGCTGGTGGGAAATGTTAATTACTGGGGCAGGGGAGCACTTTTAAAGACCTAACAGTGGTCTTTCACTTCATGATAATTACATATCAAAAGCAGCAAATGTTTGCGATATAAGCAGATTGGTCAGGCGCCCCCAATTATGAGACTTCACAGCTTCCTTGCTGGGCAGTCCTCATTGCAATTATCAAACAACTTTGTCTTCCAAACCCAGAATTACACAGATGGGGTGGATAGTGTGGGAATGACAAGAGCACAAATATTTAGAATGGAGCTTCCTTTCCACTGACTGTGTGCAACCTGCACATTAATTTAAATGTTAATAAATTAATGTTCCATAAACCACTTAGGTATAAAATAATATTGTTCTCAACTTTGTAGATACATACTATCTAAATACTGTTTTTAAAAAACAATGTCGGTTTTGGTAACAGCAGAGGCTAGTTAAATTCAGATGTGATGATAGCACCTGCAAGTCATTTTTCTTCCTGCGGTTTTCTGTGCTTTGTATCTGCTGCTAGCAAGCATCAAATAGCCTGGTTACCACACTTCCTGTTTGAAAGTTGCAGCAAGAAAATACAGCGAGGTATGGAAGACTGACCCATGAAAGGAGCCTGTTAAAGTGTTTTTAAAGTGAGGAGGCTGTTCTTACATTATAATTACAGAACAACTTGCTTTCTTCAAATCCTCCCTGCCCACTGTCAGCATATACAGTATTCCTATTAAGTTCATTTAAGATAAACACTGATTAGTGCCCTTTGTGGGAGGATTCCAGGAGAGGCTGAAAGAACAACTTTTTTTTTCCTTTTTAAATTTCTTTCTCAAGGTTTATCAGAGTTGAGTAAAGGTAATAATGCTGTTTTAATAAGTTAAACCTCTACTCATACTCCTGATTGCCAGACCTTGCTCTACCCACTGATTGCCTGTGACACTTTATTTCTGCATTTTAAATTATAGATTGCAGTGTTACAGTTCTGATGAATAGTTTCACTTTTGCATTTGGTCAGCTATAGAATTAACTTTGAAACAGTGAAAATCTCCTTAGTACTTTAATTTGTGGAAGACTGATAGAAATACAGCTCTATTTTAGGTATCTTCATCCCTTATTGCTGTTTGTTTAAATTCTCCGTGAAAGGCAAGTTTTAAATATGATCCTTTTAATCATGATTGAGAGACAGTTTCAGAGTCTGTGATATACTGTTTTATATGTTCTCTTTAACCATCAGTTGTATTCTCTATCTAAACGGATACAAAAGACATTACTTACTAGGCTGCAGTAATAAAATGTATGGCCTTCCTTCAGGAACGTGCCTGTTAACTTGGTAAGCCCTGGGAAATTTATGTAAGAACAAAAATTTAGGGTTTTTAAAACAGTCATCTTATGCTCCAGTTTTGTTTAAGAGAATAACCTTATGGGACTCCAGTAATCTGGGAGGTCTAGACAGACAAATGCAGCACTATCTTTATTGTGGTTTTCTGCTCTCACAATACCACATTAAGGGCTTGTTGCTGTGAGAGTAACAAATGCTACCTGTGAAGTACTGACTGTCTAAATACCCATTAATGGCATGTGACATTTAGGGTGTTGGCATCTGGCAGGATCAAGACTACGTACTTTCACCTGCGATCATGATTCTATAATTAAATTATCTGATTGCTAGCAGTACCCTTCTTATTTTAAACTAATAATTAACAAAAAGAACAACCTTCCTTGTTTCAGTTCTTAAATGGGGTTCCAAAGGACACTAAGAGAACTCTGAGATTATATCAGTGTTGCAAGCTAAAATGTTGATGTCTCTTTTGCCACCTGATTAATTACATTTTCCATTGAACATAGCAGTTTTGTGTCTCACCCCACAAAAAAACAAAACAACCCCAGTAAAACTCATTTGTTTTACAGGGCAACACACATAAAATTCCTGCCTTTTTGACAAATAGCCATGAGTTTTATTTTCTGGAATCTGGTAACTTAATGTTTAAAATGAGATGATAAAAACACCACAATGTTAGTTGTTTCAGGGCATAGTGATTATTTCTAAAAGGGGAAGGAGGAAAAGCTCTCCTCAAATGGAGAGGAAAAAGACAAAAATGATTCTTGAATTTAGCATGTACTGTATAGAAGCTATCATCTGCTTGACTTTATTTGTTCTAAGAATAAATCTTTGAGAAGTGCTTAAAAATGATTCTCTTTGAAGGCTCACACTAATGTAACCTACACTTTGACTTTGGGGTTCAGTTATGTTTGTGAACAAGAATTAAAGTTTCAAATAGCATGCATGACCAAAATCCTAAGCGGAAAGCTTTCAATAAGTTCTGCAACCCAGAATAGAATTTCAGACAAACACAAGCATGCCCAAATTTTATGGATTGTTCCCAGGGCTTCAGCTGACCACAACACTTCAAACTGCAGAGAACTGGCAGCGCATTCTGGGCATTAGCCTGCAAATAAGACTATGAGCTGTGGAAGAATTTCCCTGCCTTGGGCTCTATTTAGATTTAGCCAGGGACTGAGGCCAGGCACTTGTGGGAAGATTGACAATGTAGCAGTCCATTTTTCAACATTCAATTTAGTAGGTCTAATAAAGACCCACTAAAGTGAATGTGGTGGGTACCTGGGTCAGTGCCGGTATTCCTGCTTCTGGTGAGGAGTAAGGGAAATTGATGGGAATGTTCCTCTCATCAGCCTCCCCCTGTGAGGATGGCACTGAAGCTTGGATGAAGGTACGTCGACTCCAGGTACATTCTTTTTATGTAGCTGGAATTGTGTATCTCAAGTTGACCTTTACCTGAAGTGTTGACCTGGCCTAAAAATTGAACCACTATGACAACAGGAACTTTTATATATTCCGTTCTGGACTTATGCCAAAAAAGCTCTGTTAGACTGAGGGAGTAGTGACACTCTATGGCTTAGTACTTCATGAGCTTTCAGGGCTGCAGAAGAATATGTTATACCATTGCTAGGGAAAAGGGAAACCCAACAATACAGTTCCACAGGATATTTATTTCTAATTCTAGTAGGTAACAGTATTACCTTGTAATATTGTCACTGATTATCAGCTACCTTTTCCCATTTGTGTTCTAACAGAACCTTTGTAGTCAATATCATCTGTGTTGCAAGAGCTAGAAGCCAGTGCCTTGGCTCACTTCTGAGCCAACCTTGGACCCCCAATTTCTAAACAGCTTATTAAGCTTCACTTGTAGACATTTGCTGTACTCTCTATCATTGAACTAAACAAGAGTGAGATGTCGCACAGTTTGCATAAATTAACCATATTTTGGTTGAAAAATTTAAGTTCTTTATTAGCAATATTGGATATGAAGAATTCTAGAAATTGGAGTCCTCCTGGGATTAGTTATGAGAACAAACTCAGGACAGAATTTTTCAAAATTTCTCTGAATTGGCCTAATTTTGCTCACGTTGAAGTCAATAGGAGTTTTGACTCCAATGGAAGCGGAATTCTGAACTTTTGAAAATCTTAATGTAAAAGGTCTAACTATGCCAGGAGTGTACTTGGAGCTGACTTTTAAGAAACTGCTACATTGAAGTCTTGTCTTCTGGTATTTAAAAACTTGTAATCTGTCATTCTATTATGGTTCCATTTGCATCAATGCATGAAATAATGCTAGAACAAATATTTCTTCAGATCAGCAACAATAACAATTCAGGGGAATGTATAAAGACAACTCTGCAGTAAAGGCCAGTGAACTAATTTTTTTTTTTTTTACTTTTGTTTTGGGGGCAGTCAGTTGTCATGAAAACTTGCTGTTTCTTACTAGCTTGTAATTGATCCACATTCACCTGTGTTTATAGATTTTTAACCTAATGTCTTGATTGAGAATCTTTGAGAAATCAAAACCACTAATACACATCTGGACTTTGTTGTTTTTCTAGCATAATGTAACATCTTGAAGCAGAATGGTGTTTTGCTTCGTTAAGAAGCATTTTACCCTAGTGAAAATATTCTGTTTGTACTGCCTTAATTCCTCCTTTTGAAACCCCTAAAATGTATACAGATTTTTTTATTTTGTTTTTAAAAAGCAAAATTGCTTGTTTTCAGAAGTGTTGGGTGGAGGGAAAGGATGTTAGAATACCTATTTCCATTTTATCTTAATTCTGGAGTTGCTAAATGTAGCTATGGTGACTGTGGTCTACACTAAAAAGTTAAGTTGACCCAGCTAGGGAAGTAATAGTGTAGTCAATTAACCAATAAGCTAAAGCTTATGGATTAATGCTATAGACTACATGCATTTCCCTCCCCTCTTGCCAGTACATTTTTTAGCAGGCTGGCCAGCAGCCCGGCTCAGTCCTGTCTTGCTACAGGTCCAGGACCTACCCCTGCTGCAGCTCTGCATTTAAAGTGTATTAGGAGCTGGCTCTGTCCTGACTAATTCTGGGCACTGCAGTTCTGCATTTAAAGTACATTAGGAGCCAGGGGAGCAGGAAGCCCAATTCAGTTCCAGATCACATCAAGTCTAGGAGCTCAAACTTCCCTAGACAGGGGCTGCTGCCACCCCGTGCAGCTGCCTCTGTATCAGAGGTAGCAGCATAGGGCAATAGGCAGCCAGTCCGTAAGGGGAGCTGGGTTTTAAACCGGTTTTTAAATTGGCTCCCCTTGTGGACCAGTTCCCGCCTGGCATCCTGCGCTGCTGCCTCTGATACAGAGCCAGCAGTGTGGAGTGGCAGGGGACTTCTTGGGATTGAGGGTGGAGTGCACTGGCCCTGCCCCATAGGACTACAGAATAGTCGATTAACCGATAAGAATTCATGAGGTTACTCAACTATTCAATTAACCTATATTTAATATCCCTAGACCCAGCTTTGTTTCTCAGAGATGTGAAATTCCACACCCCCTCTGATACAGAGCCAGCAGTGTGGAGTGGCAGGGGACTTCTTGGGATTGAGGGTGGAGTGCACTGGCCCTGCCCCATAGGACTACAGAATAGTCGATTAACCGATAAGAATTCATGAGGTTACTCAACTATTCAATTAACCTATATTTAATATCCCTAGACCCAGCTTTGTTTCTCAGAGATGTGAAATTCCACACCCCTGAGAAATGTAGGTAAGCCTACCTAACCCCTAGTGTAGACTGTTCTAGGTAGACAGAAAAATTCTTCTGTTAACCTAGCTCTACCTGTAGCTTAAATGTGCTACTGTAGCATTTCAAGTATAGTCAAGCCTGTAGTCGTATACAGGTGCTGTCCGATGTGTTAGGAACGTCTTCAAATCAACAACATAGACATTGATATTATTACTAGAGTTTCTGTTCCTTAGAATGACATTGCTGTACATGAACATAGATATCTAATTATCTTTGTTGGAGACAGTTTCATGACATATAAGTTGAATTTAGACTGTCCATTCATCGGGGTACGTCTAGACTACAGGCTTTTGTCTGTCGACAAAGATTCTGTTGACAAAGAGTGTCTAGACTATATCCAGTTCTGTCGACAAAGTAAGCCGCTTTGTTGACATGAGAGTGTAGACAAAGGACAGTGTAGATGCAATAATGCCTTCTGTCGACAGAACTCCGTCGACAAAAGGCTTTATTCCTCGTAGAATTAGGTTTACCACCATCGATAAAACTGTCGAGTTCTGTCGATGTTATGTCGACAGAACTCAGCAGTAGTGTAGACGCAGGTATAGTTTTGTCGACAAAAGTCCACTTTTGTCGATAAAACCCGGTAGTCTAGGCACACCCCAGGATAGAATCTTTGCACTATTAATGTGTCTAGCCCAATGAGTCATACTCTTACTTGAAACCTCTAGCTAATGCAGTAGTTGAAATAGGGATCTACAGCAGTGTGTGCATTGGATTTCCATAAATAGATTAGACCCTTTATATAGTCAGCATTTAATTTTTAAGTGTATAACTTTATAATATTGTAATCTTTTAATTTTCCATTTATTTACAAAATAAGAATAAGATTGTACATGGAATGACCACAATAATATCACCAGGTAATTATGTGGGAACTGGAGGGAGGGCATGGAGACTTCAGGTTAGAGCAGTGTTTCTCAAACTGTGCTCCGCGGAGCCTCACGGCTCCATGAGACATCTCCAGGGGCTCCACAAGGCTGACAAACTGGAAACATCGATAGGTACAACACATACAATCAGTGGACCGCTGGGGCTCCGCATAAATTTTTACGCATGTAAAGGGCTCTGGAGTTTGAGAAACGCTGGGTTAGAGGTTAAACCAGACCCAAAAAATATACTCTATAGTTTAGCAAAAGAATGGCTGGACTTTTATGTGTCAGTTGTTCCACGGTAGGAGTTTGTGTTTTAAGGAGACAGTCCACATTTCCCAGGTCCCTCTCCTCCCTCCCCCCCCCTCCCCATTATGAATGAGGCTTTACATGGAGCAGCTGGGGAGGAGAAGGGGAAAGTGTATTTGTGATGATAGAATTTGTGTCCCCATCTGCATTACAAAAACAGCTGTCAGGGCAACCAATTACAACATAATTAAAATTAGCACTTAGAACCTTAACTGGCTGTAACAGGTAGGGATGTTAAATATTGCGTAATTGACAATTGATTGAATAGTCCATGCATTTTGCATCGACTGTTCAATTAGTGGATAGGGCGCCTACATTTTGAAGTGTAGCAACAACCCTCATCAGATAGTCGACTAGTCCTTCACATACCTAGTAACAGGACCTAATCTGAGAGAGCTTGGAAAACAAATAATTGTTTTATTGAATATTGTTTTTTTTAAGGGGGGGAGGAGGGTTGAAGAGAGGAGATATATCCAGGTAGTACTCTTTCTAAAGTACGTCCTTTTCTCATTTGACTCCAATCAGAACTTGTATTTATTTTGTTTAAAAGTAAGAATGAGCCAAAAGAAAAAAGTGTTTGCCAGGACACTATTCCCAAATGTAGATTCTGGTTATATTATCTGTGGTGTGGTGTGTGTGTGTGTGTGTGTGTGTAGGGGGGAGGGGGTTACAAGAAGTTATGGAATGTTTGCATTACTTAAGATTCTGCCTCATTACTTAAGATTCTGCCTTATGCAGTTTTTAATGGTGTGTTTCTTTTTTTAAAAGTGATTAAGCGTGCATCTTTTGTTAGTGCCTATCAAGTATATAGAGGGCATCCCCGATATAAGTATACATCTGTTCTGCACTAAAGTCATTGACGCTTGTAGGAACTGGTATGTTATAAGTCCTCCCGTCCCGTCACACAAAAAAAGCCTAACAATTTGTGCAACTGGAAGTTAGCTGTAGGAATAAAAATTGCTGCTATAAGTTGTTCACTATAAGTCCAAATTTTTTGGAACATATCTTGGACTTATAGCGAGGACGACCTGTATTCTGAAATCTGTCAATTGAAAAGATCTATCTTCTTTCTTGCTAACATAACACACTTTTCTCTTTCAGGTAATTGCCTTTAGGATAAGGACCAAGAGACCATTTACACGCACTTCTTCGGTGCTTGGACTAACAAGTTCAGAGAGAAGATTCTTGCTTCTTTTGTCACCAACTTGATTATCACAAGACTTAACTGCCATTGGGAAAAGCTCGCAACAGAAGAAAAACCTTTCCACTTCTAAGCCGTTACACAGTAGTTGAGTTAAGGTACTTTCTACGTGGAGGCTCTATAGTACAGATTTGGAATTTTGCTGCTTGCTCTCGTCCTCTGTGTTCAGGCTCAGACTGTAAACAATGAGTGAGTTCTGGTTGTGTTTCAACTGCTGTATTGCAGAACAGCCCCAGCCTGTAAGTATGAATCTGTGCATTGTTTCTGTATGTAGTCAACGATGTTCTTTTTGTGCTCATATTATTGACTAAGCTCAGTGAAAATGAAAAAAATCACCTAGCATCTCTGTTTTTGCTATACTGTAGAAATAGTCACAGAAATGCAGTATATAACTGTAGTAGGCTAATGCAGTATATAACTGTAGTTGGCTAATGCCTGTTAAATGGCTTCATTACCACTCGAATGGCTCCTTCACAGATTCAATGTCTACCAATAGGTCTAGCAGGCTTTTTTTAACTTTCAAGTTAATTAGATCCTGGCTAGAGGAAACTGAGCCAAACAATAGGGATTGGAAGACGTGGTGGACATTAAGACCCAGTTGTGCCCAGTTTTTTTTGGATGCCCTACACAGCTGTGTATTTTGCTTATGAGTAAGGATGGCCCTGGCATCAGGGGAGCAGGCAAGAGGCACTGAGGTTGAGTAGGGTAAATTCTGGCCGGAGGACTCCAGAGAAGTAGGGAGCAGTCGTTCAACCAGCGGCTGGAGAGAAACAGCGCTTTGAAAAGAAAAATGCTGTTTCTCTCCAGCCATCCACTGCACAGATGCTCCCTTCTCCTCCAGAGTCCTTCAGCTTGTGCCTACAGTGTTTGCCACCTCCTGGTGAACAGTGGAAGGGGAGGTGATCAGAGGATGGGCCTAGCCAGTGCAAAGCCCACGAGGGAGTGGGAGCTGGTGGTCAGGGAATGCCCAGAAGTCCCCTTCCAAATCTCCACCTACCGCCTTATCCTCCTCTAATTAAATCTGCCTTTCCTCAAGCACTAGCATTCAAGATTAAATCAAAAACAATTTTGACTATTTTTCATTGCAAATATACAATATTTCAGCTACATTATGGGTTAAATAGACTTATTGGACTAGCCTGGGAACCTAACACCCATTTATAACGTTGTTTCTATGGGGAAATGAGTTCATAGGTCCAAACAACCGACTTACAAACAAACTTCGTAAGTTGAGCACTTCCTGTTTGAATTAGAAATAATAGATGAATCATAACACGGTGCTGCTGATAGTAACACAGAGAATTCAGTTTTGTACTGACTTATGGAAAATCAAAGCCACTTAAAAATGTAATGCCTACCTGCTTTTCTTAGACAGTCAAGAATTTTTATTTCAAAAATATTGAAAGCAAAAAGTATCCCAATGTAGTAACTGAAGTATCAGTAATAGACACTTAACTGTTTATACCTCCTTGGTGCTTAGTAGAAATGTAGCTTGCTGTCATTTTTAATAAGACAGTTGTGGGAGAAGTTCATATCTCAGATACCAACATGGGGAGTTAAAATTCCTCTTATGTGGAGTGAATACTTTGCAGTCTTTCAAGACTTGGAGTATCTGTATCCTAATGACTTGCATAGTTTGAAGACAAAATGTTTTAATAAGAATAATGATGTATGAGTTGTGATGGCTTTCTGAAATTAAGAGAACTAATATTTAGCACCTTTGGATATATAGCACAATCCCATGTTTTAATTTTGTATAAATAATAGTAGAAACCAAAAATATGTTTCACTTGTTTACAAGATATAAATAGCTGCTTTTCTAAACTGATTATAATTTTATGCTGGAATGATTGCATGGGAGTACAAAATGAAATATGTAGTACAGCTAACATAATACCTTAGTACTGTGGCTCCCAATTTTTGGGTCATGATCCCCATTAAATCTGAAGGTTATAGTTCCAGACAGAAGAGGGATTGCAAGTATTCACCCACTCCTGTCTGTGATATGTATTTGATTATTAACTTGTGCTGCTTGTTCTTCTCCTCACCTCCAACATATAAGCAGCACCCTGTAAAGCATTTCACTTGTTCCTGAACTGCTGTTTCATGTGTTGTAGGACCTGCACATATTAATTAGAGGTGTTCTTGAAATGATTTTGCTTACAACTCAGTAGTAATGTGACTGAATGTGAGCTGATAGTGTTGTTGATAGTAACAGATGTAGAAGTCCTAGATTCTAGTTCTACTTGTGTTCCTATTCTGTGTAACCGGGACCAAAATTTCAAGTTGCAAAATGAATTACTGACATTCTAAAAAATGTTAACAAATCTAAATTGATCCCTTTTCCACACTGGGCTGGCAAATAAATAACTCTAACTTCTTAAAAATAATTTCTTTAGAAACTGGGAATGATTCTTCGTGTATGTATAACACTAGAGCCCAATACACATTAAGAACCTGAATAGGCTGCCCCTATTCCTGGTTGAGTAGCACCTCATTCTGCAAGGAGCCCTCATGGACACAGTGGAAGTACTTGAAGAGTGAGGGTACTGTTCAATGTGAACACCACTTTACCGCATGTACTATACCCCAGGATGGGCTGCTCCTACAGCAGTGTCTCCTGTGAGATGGGTTTAAGCAACAGAGGCCATGTCTGCACTATGAGATAAGGTTGATTTTATTAAGGCCAGGTTGTTGGGTTTTTTTTAGTGCCTGATTTTGTAAAATTGAAGGTGCACGTTCCCACTGAGCACACAAATTTGACTCCGTTTGAAGTAGCGTGTCCCCAGTAGGGTGGCTGTCGTTGACTTTGAAAACAATGCACTGTGGGTAGGTATCCCACAGTTCCTGTACCCGTTTGCATTCTGGGTGATGCTCCTAGGGCATGCTGGGACTAAAACTGTGCAGCAGGATAGGTATCCCACAGTTCCTGTACCCATTTGCATTCTGGGTGATGCTCCTAGGACATGCTGGGACTAAAACTGTGCAGCAGGTGGTCCTGGATACATGCTTAAAGCCACTTTCTGAATTGCTTCCCTCTGCCCTGAAGCACAAGAATGCCAGAATGAGACTTACTTTGACAGTGAAGAAGCAAGTGGCAATTGCCTTGTGGAAGTTTGCAATCTCAGACAGCTACCAATCAGCTGGGAATTAATTCGGCGTGGGGAAATCTACAGTGGGGGCTATTGTGATCCAACTAACTAAGGCAATAAATGCCTTTCTGCTATGGAGGATAGTGACTCAGGAAAATGTGAAGGGTCTTGCTGCAATGGTGTTTCCTAACTGTATTGGACATAATGAAGGGTCTTACTGCAATGGTGTTTCCTAACTGTATTGGGGTGGTAGGCAAAATGAATATCCCTATCTTGGCACCTGACTACCTTACCAAAGAGTACATATACCACAAGGGGTACTTCTTCATGGTGCTGCAGGCACAAGAGCTGAGCAAGTGCGGAACAGTGGTAGAATCTGCTTTTGGGCATATAAAGAGAAGGCTCTGCAGTGTACTGACTAAGTTAGACCTCAGAGAATGCAAGATTCCAATTGTAGTTGCAGCCTGTGTGCTCCATAGTATTTGTGAGAATAAGGGGAAAATTTATATGGCAAAGTGCGGGGTTGATGCATGAGCGTCATGCATGTTGCTCTCAGCAAGGAGCCCCTGCATTCAGTGTGCTTCCCTGTAACAACCTCTTCTCTCCCTCCCCCTCCCCCTCCAAACACAAGCAATAAAGACTCCGTTGTTCAGAAAACATGCGTTTTTATTTAGGGAACATAGCAGGAATCAAAAAGGAGTTGCGGGTGGGAGTGATCACTATTGTGAGACGAACAGGCTTTGCCTTTGGGGGAAATCCTTGGGGGTTGAGTGTGAGGGTTCCCTTGCTGGAGAGGAGGCTATGGAACACAATGAGGAGGGAATGTAGTTCTGCAAGGGCTGGAGGGTATGCCTGATCCTGGAAGACTGCCAAGTAACTATGCCACACATTCATGCGCCATGGTCTTCAAAATTCTCTCCTGGTTCTTCACTTTAACTCCTGCATGCTCTCCTCCTCTTGTGCTCTGCTTACAACTCCAGCAGCAGCATATTCCTTCATTTGCTTAAGCACTCCCAGTCCAAGTGGGTATATTGCATTTGCTCCTTTAATATCTCATACCTAGTCGGTTTTTGCCTGTGAATTTATGGTGGAGCCGGGGGAGTGTGCAGCATGCTTGCTGTTCTCTGTAATTAAAAGTGAGGGACAGACTTTACAGGAGATGCATTGTAGAGCATAAAACCTAATCTGTTAGCAACAAAGGAAGGTGTGTCCACAGACAATAGGGATGTATTGTGTACAAGGCCACAGTTATGCTTTTAAGAGGCCACTATGTAGCAGATATATCACAGAGTTCTTAGGGGAACACCTGCACTCAATTTAGTGGTGGGCCTGGTAGGTGACAGGACAGGGCTGGAGCCTGTGGGGTTCAGGTTTGGCAGCAGGGCAGGGGCTCACATGGCACCTGTGTGTTTGGGGCACACACACACCCTGTTTTCTGGGAGAGTGCAACTTTCCCTTCCTGTGGGATCATGTGGGTGGGAGGGGAGAGGGTCCTGGCAGGGGCTCAAACCATGCTTCCTTGATGAGAAAACAGAGGTTTACTACAAAGGCATCAGCTAATCACTTCCCCTGCTTCATACAGATTGCCACATGAGATATCAGTCTTCTCCAAATCACTGTGTGATAGGGAACAGATGTGGACTGATTGTGGCCAGAAATCTGAACCTTATGGTGCAATGCATTGAGCTGCAATGATGCCAAACCACTTACTGCTGGTGTGACATGGGCAAGACGTCCTACCATAAAGGGTGGAATAAGGCCTCCCCAGAAACCCTCTGAGGAGGATTAAAGAGATCCCCTTTGAGAGCTGCATGGAGATGTGCAGGGAGGATTCCCACTCCATCTTCAGACATGCTAGCAATCTGTTCCGGGGATCCCCCCCTCCCCCCGTGTCTGCACAGTGGCCACCACAGATCACACCCGATTGTCATAACCCACTTGCGACATGATAAAAAATGTAAACTCACCAAAAGTGCCCTCCCCAGAATCCATGCCCAGCTGTGAGATGTCCTGGGAGGAGGGGATGGTCTCTAAAGTTATAAAAGGGTCTTAGTTGTTGGTGACATCAGTTATCCCACTGTGCTGTCCTCCAAGCTGCTGCCTGAGGTTGCCAGAGGAGTGTCTTGGTAGAAATCCACAGACTGGCT